GAAATACAGTAGACAGGTTCTCGGCTAGTCTTGGATTAGCTGCTCATAAGGTCAAGCATGTCAATTTTGTATGTTCGAGGAAGCTAAGATGAAAAGCAGTCGGCATGAGTAAAATTTGTGTCATATTATTGACTTCAGATTGACGCGAAAGCGTTATGAACATCATTAGCATCAACTATAACGAAGTACAGTATCAACATTTTTGATCGCGTACGAAACAAGACGATTGCTCGACGTACCGCGGATTTTTCCCCGCAAGTTTATGATGACATCTGGTAGGTTTGTTGAACACATTTACCAGATTTTCTACAATATTAGTAGTACAGTACTCAACCATGATTCAACGTGGGATCAGGCTTGAATATTTTTATCTTGAAGATTTTCATCATCGTAATTCATCAGCGATATTTGGTCATTCAGGCGAAAACACCCCGTCATCGGCCCGGATAATCGGGGTTCGACGGTATCGAGCCAACCCCAAACATTTTGACGAAATTTAAGCCAGTAATGTGGCGCGACACTTGGTTTCCGTAGGTCATGAAATTCCGTTCTACGACTCCTATCCGGGAGATTTTTATGGGTGGATAGTGTGCATGGTTGCATCCGGTCCCCTGGTGCGAGCAGGCCGAATCAGTTTGTTTCAAATGTGTTTTTTCCACTCGCGACGCGCGTGCAATTTTTATTCGTTTCGTAGGATAAAGCAACGGATGCATACGCGCTTTTCAGGCCATCGTACTGCGACGAAACACGCAGCGCGTTTCCCAGGACTGGAAAAAGCCCTCCAGCGGTACCCAAGGGGAAGCTATGTGAGTTCAGGACTCAGGATTCCTGAAGCACAGTTGAAATTCCTACGAAATCCAAGATAACTACATCGTCGAGCAAATTTGCTCAGTCCCAGTCCGGCCGTGAAGAAACCGCGGAATAACCGAATTCGCAAGCACGGCGGATGAAGAATTCCTTTCCGAGGAGTCACGATTTTCAGAACGCGTTTGCTCGCGACGAGCCTCAAGATTCGATTTTTTGCGCAAGCAGCAAAAAATTAGGTTTACTGCCCGCGGCAATGACTTGACCAAATGTACCGTGACTGACTTGGAACCAGCAGGTCATCCGGACCGTTCTCAAACAACGCTTGTTTGTTGGCAGTATCCGGCTAATAAGTGTTCTTCCGACGACTTCGAGCTCATTTAAAGAGGGCCTCGAAGATTCTACTCACGTCATTACATGATATCACTAATCAGGTAATATAAATGGCCAGTTAATCGAATCTAGTCATAATGATGCCCCGTATTGTAGAGTATTCGACCGCGCCACCGTTTTTAATAGCATTTTTCGATCTTATCCCGGCTGAACTTGAGAATTAAATCATTTTTGACGACTATCACTCGCCGGTTAGGTGAAATACTATGTATTATTTTCGACAATCGAGGGGAACGAGAACTTCGATGGTGCCACAGGACACAGGAGCAGGAATACGATAATCGCCCCCAATGTTTATTTCTAACGCTTTCTGAATGAGGCTTTTTTAGAATTTTTCGAAAGTTGGATACGCAATCTTCTTCAGTTCTGGATGCTCATGCAGTATTTTTTCATTCATTGGTCAAATTTTTCTCCCAAAAAATACACTGAAATTCACGAATGCGGTCTATGTTTGAGAAGTGATCACATTGCAGTATTATGGGCAGTAGTGCGCCCTAAATCCTCGAATATACAGTACCAGCATTCTCGTTTCTTAGCTTACTTTTTTACAGTGCCGTATTTAATATTGAGTCATGGAAAAATCAATTCAGCGTGAAATGAGACGACGTATTTTCTGAAGTGAGAGAAAGCATCCAGGAGATTTTTCCAGGCAGAACCTTCAATGGTTTGCTGGCCTATCGCAGATTGATACGAATTGTTGGCCACGCAATCCTCGTATAGAAAATCACGGAGGAAAGACTCTAAAATGAATTCGTGTCATTCTCTTGGGATTTTTTGCCCGTCCTAACGCGTCGGACGTTTTTCGCAAGTTCCCATCCCTCAACGCCCCCGAATACACATCAGTATGAACGAACGAGTGAAAGCATCAAACCGGCTTCGTTCAACTGTTCCAACCAACGTGAAACTAAAATATTGTTATTTTCGCTGGATAATAAATTGAACCGTGGTGCCAAATACAGTACGCATATTGCGTAGTAGAACAGGTGCTGTCGTCAACACGCGTCGCAGCGGCAATGTCGATGAGGCCCGTTCCGGTTGACGTCAGCGCGACGAACTTGCCGTACCGTAACTCTGTTCAAGTTACCTGCTGGTTTCCGCAATATACAAGTACCAGATGCACGATGATTTTCTAAAAAAAAATCACAGGTCCGGAAGAAATCTTCGACATACGCGCTCCGATAGGAGTGCAGCTGAAATATTATTCAGCAAAAAGTATACACGTATAAATTCTTCAATGAGCTAAATTAAAACTGCGTAATATTCGAATGTGTCGCAGCCTTACATTTAAAATCGAATTTTGTCCTTGGCCTGATTTTCGCTTGGTGCACATCCGCTCACGCGTTGTAACCGACTCACAGATCTAGTTTGTATCAGGCTGATCAAGATTAATTTGATCGACCGCATGCTTTGAACTGCTGCGAATGATGGTGTTGTAAAAGGTGTCTTTGCGATAAAATTGTACCTGTCCTAATGATTTCGCCAGATAATGAGGCCCCCGGAATGTATATTCTAATTAAAAGCGAGCTCACTGAGTCCGCGTAAAAAGGTTGATTTGAAAAATTTCGTTGAAAATGTGTAGTACGGGCTTTGCTTTTTGCCTTTCACACCGCGAACGAATGGTTGGGGATTTTAATGAACGTTGCATTGACCTGACGACGGAGATTTACGACGCGTGTCGTTCTTGACGGTAATATAATTTGAGTCCTTTGTCCGGGTGAAGATTCTCCCGGGGGTGGAAAATGGCTTGTTTGTATAGAAAGACGAAGCAAATGTGAGTTGAGTCATTCGGACTCGGTTCTCGTTTAATTAGCCTGGTTTCCATTCCTTCAGACAAAAGGTACGTCTCAGACGAGCCTCGCATTATTTTCCGTCATGTCCCGCTTTTACGAGCTGGCCAACGGACGGCGGTATCGCGCGCATCGGTATATTTCACGGACGATCGCCGCCGGGATACCCAGGACCTAGTTCGCGTAATGTCTCGCGTCGGTGCGGTCGCGTGCTGGTAGTGATCAGGATGAGGTGCCATGGTTCTGAATCCAGCACCGAACCGGGTCCATAACTGTGTTTCAATATACAGCCGCGATTCGAATCCCTGCAGCAGAGTTGACGGATGGATAAGTGCCGCTGTCAGTGCTCGTCGGCCCCCTGGAAGTGCCCCATTCACAATCCAATCTGACCAGCTACTGAATTTCCTCGTCCGTAAGCCGCTACAGCGTTTTTTGAGCATATGCTCTGTTCTGGACGAAAGAACGGCAAGAATGCTGTTGCGGCCCATCGTCGAGGTACAATATTTGTACAAGAGCCGCAAACGCCCTTGTACAAATATTGTACCTCGTACGGCTTACGTACGGCTTAAAGAAATATTTTACGGCTTGAAGAAATATTGTACGGCTTAAAGAAAAATATTCGCGATCATGTCGCGGATTCGCACTGGCTTAAAGGGTTCAGAAGATTGAACAGAACGTGTATCGTTGTTTGAAGCAGGGCAAAATTGCGTACAATATGCAGTTGGACCTCGATAACTTGAGCCTCTTTGTGTCAAAATTTTTTTTTTAGACCCGGCGTATTTCCTTGAACAAGTTGGAATAAACCTCCCTAACTCGAAGACTTTCCCCCTCTACTCAAATTTCCGGAGGCCTTCGAGGGATTATTCTAGGCATGCAGGAAATAAAAAAGCGACGGCAATTTGGCTTGATATTTTTCAAAAGGAAGTGAGCGACATATCCTGTAAAACGTATTTTTCCCCAGCAAATGAAGATTACCAATTTTAATATCCTGTCATTATTTCCTTTCATCTCTAGGAGAATAGTAGTTTCCCCGACACGAAACCTCAATACGGAATTTTTTGCTACTCCCTTGAAGTTCGAGTTGAAGAGGTTCAATTGTATTACTGATTACAGCCTGCTGACTTTTCAGCAAGATAATAATTTTCGCCAATACTTTCGTCAACAATGTAACGAAACAAATGCATTTCTGCTTGTATCCATGCATAAGCCGCATTCTCATGCCACAAAATTCAATGCGGCTGAGGCAGTTTTTCTTTCTCTACTGGAATGCCTGCCGAAATCACGCGCGCGTCCTACTCTCGCTCACGGCCTATGAAGTCGAGTGAATACGGTACGAGGACGATAACTGTTCCTTCTGCTGACAGACAAAAGAGCAGGACTTACGTTTTGAGTGGTAAGAGAGCTACGAAGCACAATTATCGTTTTTATTGTGGACTTCCTGTGCTCTCGAGTACAGTATATGCCGCACAGATGAAACTACAGTACTGTACTACAGTATATACGTTATATGTGCTCGGAAATCACGGGTGTAGACTGCACTTCTGGGGGAGGGTATGTCCTGAACTTGGAAAAAGCGGCAATTGGGGGAATTCCGAGTGACAGGTTCCTCTTGGGCTTTATATAGAGACGCAGCGTGTGTGGGTACATGATGTACGCATCTCGACAGCCATGCTGTTCGCGTGAGACGCAACGATGAGGCAGGAAGTTCATGCTGCTCGCTTCTCAGATAAGATAACGCTGGTCGGGTTATGCTGCTCAAACTGTCAGCGTTCGTGTTTCGTCAACTGCTCCGAATCGCGCTGGAGCACTGTTAAGTCGACTTCGGTTCCCCCCGGGGGAGTTCTAACGCATGACAGATCACTTAGCTGCCGCCATAGATTGCTCTTCGCGTCACCGTTCTTCATCGTTCATCACAAGTTCCAAGGTTCGAGAAACAACGCCTTTGACTGCATAAGCACATGTTTTCTGGATGGAATCACTGTCAAATTTAATGGTTTTTCATATTCCTCTTGAGACATGTTTTGCTGCGCTCTCGATTTCCTGGACCTTGTGGACGATATTTTCGAGACAGTGGTGAAATCTAACATCAATTGATATGATATTACGTGACACGTTCAAGGTTATATTCGCGGTTGCGCGGAGCTGGCGAATTTCCGAAGAAGTTTCGAGGGATCGCTTCGTGGGTCGTTGTCCTGCTCTGTTGAAGAAGCTCGTACTAAGCATAAAATGAGCAACGCGGCCTGTGGGAATCTTGAGCCTTTTGTACGATTGAAAAGTTGCTGCACGCCTCTACCCTGGGGGACATGCGGTTTGCGTAGAAATACATGCCGAGAAGTTCTCGATCGCTACTTGAAAAAAAAAAAAACTCATTCTCAATCTTTTTTCAGGCAAGGAACGATCCGTGCAATTCACAAGGTGCCGGGGCCTCGAACCGGGCTTCTCGCGAAGTGTGTGCTCGTGGTCTAATGGCTGACGCGTTCCGTGCGCGAGACATTGGGTTGAGAGCCCAAAAAAAACTGCTCAGCCGGATGACCTCTCACAAAGGCATGGTGAAGGTTTTAATAGACGACAATTCCGGCCAGCTCCTTGATAATCTCTACCGCTTCGTGAAGCATCATGTAAGCACTTTTACTCCCATTTTCGCCTGCTTATGGAGCCCTATGCCTTGCAATCCGAGCTCATAATGGGTGATTAGGAAGCAATCAAAAGACCTTGCACGCCGGTCCATTAAGAGCACGGCAGATCTAAACCGCACAATAATCCCTTGGTAGCCATCTTACTACTTCTGCTATGACAGATACGGTACAATATTAGTACCTCGATTATCGTTACCTGCACTACTCATTTTGGAGCTATCCGACATCCTTTCTTGTCATCAAGTCACTGGACTCATCAGGGTGCTGATGGTTTTACTCAGCATTATTTGTAAAGCATTTTCGGGTGTCCGGAAAATTTACGTACTGCAGTTGGAGATGCGAAGGAAGTTCGATGAAAAAAGTTTTATCGATTGAATGTTTTTATACCTGTTTAATTATCAAGCAGTGAAGTTTCCAGGAGAATCACGTCAATTTTGATTTTGGTTCGCTGGGGTAATTCAAGTTCAGCTGTAAAATAAGCACGCGACGTCCTTCGCGTATCACCACTTTTGGATGCTCCAAAAATGAAGAAAATAGGTAATGCATTTCTAGATCTTCACTTGCAACACAAGGCTACCTGGTCGCTCTTGAATTATAGCAGAAAATCGGGCAAATGAAGGAAATGATCGTAGGAAGCTTCTATCACTACTCTATTCGCATTACCTGGTAAATTCAGAGTGATGTGCGCTGCATCGAAATCCTAGTACAGTAAGTACTGTACCCGTACAAATTATTAACCTTGAAAATTGAAGCTAAATTATTATATTTACAAACAAAATCGATAGTGAGAGCGTTTTGCGAAAACCCGCTTTTATTTTCTGTGCAGTTCATGCTCATCCGTTATTTTTTTGCAGACTGGAAGCAAGAAAGATGCCGAAAAAATCGTCAAGAATATCATAAAGCTGAGCGTTAAAGCGGGAATTTTGTCACGGAATGAGCAATTCTCGCAAGATGAAATTCAGCTGGGGAACGATTTCGTCCGGAAGTTTCACACCTTGGCAAAGACTGTCATCAGTTTCCACGAAGTAGACTTCACGTACGACCGTGGTTTCATCTCGAAACAAATCAGCGAGTGTCACGATTTGTTCGCTAAAATAATCTCGCGACATTTGAGCGAAAAGTCGTTGTCGCGGTTGGACAACGTCTTCGGCTTCTTCTCCGATCCAAACTTTTTGGATCAAGTCTTCCAGCCGAAATATCCCCATCGCGAACTGTTCGACAAACTAGTCAACGACTTGAAGAAAGCCCTTGATGAGGGTGATCTGTGATAAAAAAAAAATGTTTTCCCAACACGCTGAAATGGATTTTTCCACGCACCATCGTGGACGCGGGAATGGACCACAAGCACTACTCGTCGCGCGAAATTTTTTTTGAGAAAACCCTTTTCATCAAACCAGTGTTCCCCTCTTTCGACCAGCAATAAGACTTGTTTTTCAATGTCGCCGAGTGTATCTAATAAAACAAAAAGTTCAAAGATATGATTTCGACGAAAAATTCAATCCCTAGAGCACTGTTCTGTACTGGCAGGAAGGAGTACCCACCTCAAATACACCGGAAAAACGTGATCTCGCGACAACGAACCCGATTCGAGGATCATAATACACTTCAGATGATCGTATTCGCATTTTCCGAAGAATGGCCCAGACCCATGAGACACGGGCCATAGTAGTGGACTATCTTGGGTCCACAAGAAACTGAATTACCGTAATCCTATCAAAAGATCTGTACAACACGTTGAAACACCACTGTCGGAGAAAAAAACAAGTTTAAGAATCACACATTTTATCAAATGGCCTTTCATGAAAAGCGGCGAACATCACACAACATGAATCGCAGAAATTACGATTGCATAAAAAATCTTTCGAACGCGAAGCGGTTTTAAGCAGTTGATCGCATTTTCCTCAAAGATGATTGCTTAACCGTTCAAAATATTGGTGCAGCGAGCGTTTTATTACACATCTGCAGACTCGTTCGTGAATTTCAGGAACGTAACATTTCTCTGCGAGGGAAAAAATAATACTAGCCCATTAGAATAAGCGTATTTCTCAATCCGTGCTTAATCTCTGGGACGTAGAGATCACGCAAAAAATAAATGCTAAGAGATGTTTCAGCCACTTTCGGAGAAGAATCTTTCGGTCTATAGTTGATATAGAATATAGTACACCTGTACCAGGTGAATTAGACTTACGAAGAGGAAACTGCATGCCATGCTCATTTAGGAGCACGGTGCATATTAGTCCAATGATCTCCATAGTAAACTCCCACTTTATTTCAAGGAAACCGAACATTCGTGCAAACGTATCCTTGTCACGATAAGATCACTACTACATGCGTCATGATTGCCAGCTTTCTTTTTTCACAGCCTTCATCTTCCTCACTCAACTACGCGAGACTGGGTACTTTTCATTAAGAAGTACCCAACATGAACGTGTATTGATCACATTTGAAATGATCTTCACCCTAGGAATGTAAGTCCTAGAAGAGGAAAGTAGGGATAACCCTTTTCTCCGAAAAGCTTCATTCACAATTGAAGGTGTTGTGGCAGGAGCGATCTACCGAAGATTTGCTTAGAATACCGCGTACGTCATTGAAAAAAGCAAGTTTAACACCTTTCCTCTAAACAGACCTACTTCAACAAGGCATCTAAAGCGCGGTCTTTCTCCCAACCCGCATCACGCAGACACATGACAATATGTTTGATGGGAAAACCAAGATCTGAAAACTGAGCCATGAGGGTCAGTCGCTGTGTGAAGCACGCCATAATCTTTGAATCGTTCCCCCTTGATTTGTCATCAAAACTACTTCGTCGGGTCTTGGAATCCTCGATTCCTGCAGGAAGATCAGTTGCGGCTACCTCGACCCAATCACCAGGATGGCCCTTATCTTCCAACGTCTGTATCAGTAGCAGATGCTCGATTATCTAGGAGACAAAAAAATGCTTTGTTCTAACATCAACGTTCAAGATTCGAATGAATAATTCTCACTTTCTTCTCGTCCCCTTTCATATGCTGGAAGCATCTTGCGACACGGTCACGAGGAAATCCCATCTCGGAAATATGCGTCACTTTTTTTTTCCCTTCAAAGTTCAGCTGAGAGAAAATATCCGGCAACGGAAACTTGGTTCGAGTGGGTGTAGGAATCGGGGGCGGTGTGCGGCTCCTTTGTTCACTACGGTTTCCAGTTTTTATGGTGTACTTCTGAAATACCAAGATCTGTGCATGTAATCGCAAATTCGACATTTGCTGAACTAAAGGTGAGGACTTGCACCACTGAATCCAAAAAATGTAAATTTTCAACCGAAGTTTATATTAGAACTGCGTTAACTTCAGAGAATAATCGAGATAATCTATGCGGGAACCAGATAAACAAAAAATAAATAAATGCAGCGGTGTTCGACCGGAAAAGCATCCGCAACTCACGCCTATGGAAAACAATTACCGAACAAAAAAACTAAGGAGATAAATCTCCGAGAAAAATCTCACATGGGAACGAGTAATAAGGAAAGAAGTCCGGAGGACTTCTGAATAAAGGCTGTCTCAGGCAAGAAACCGATAAAATAAACTCAAAGGTACGCTTGCAACAACTAACAACAGGAAACCCGTAACAATCCCCAACAAGTGACACTCGAAGTCATTAAAACGAAGACATATTCGGCACGTAACTTTGAATTAATTATATTTTAATCGGATCTTCTACAGTTTTCTTCTGGGTACTCTCCATGACCATGCCACACATGTGATGGATCCGGTCGGCCACAGTAGCACGATGATGCGTATCAATATGCACTGGTCACACACTAATATAATCACGCTAAGAGCTAGGAGATGGAGTCGAATCTTTTTTAAACCCTTTCTCATGAAAGCAACACCACCTTTATTTCAAACTCATGCACGACCGCGAATGATTTCAATAATGTAAACAACCTACAGACTGATCTATGCGAGGCATTGACGGTGATCCTGAGAAAGCTTCCTGTTCTGTGGCTAGATTGGGCACGCTGACGCTCATAGCTTTGGTCAAGTTCGTGCAGGACTGCCGAGGCAACGATGAACTTCTGTTCCCGGACCCACGTTCGTCCATGGATCGCGCCGCGTCGGCCTCCGTTGGCACGCTACCAATGGTTGTGGGATGATTCCAATACTGAACGCTCGGATAATTGAGACTTTGCTTTCCATCAAGTGCCGGAGGGAAAGGTCCTTCGAAAAAAAAATAATAATAATTATGCGGTCGTTGACAAGTATCACCTGCTTGCGATCAGAGTAAACGTATATTTTCATCCCTTCTGAAGAATTGATACTTGCGCTTATAAAATTCAAGACGAAGTGCAAAAAAAAATAAAAACTGCCGTCAAAAATACACGAGAGAATTCATTGGAACCTAATGAAATAGAACGAACAACTGTACATGAGCAAGAATATTAAAATTTGAAGGACATGGAATGTTCCTATTAACATTTTCATGATTGTTGATGGGCTTCCCGATTTGGTGAATGGGAAAACACAGCTTCGATCAACTGAAAAACTGTCTCTTCTATGATTTTCGACTGATTTTTTTTCCAAATAATCATCTATGTGGGGCCTATCCAAAAGCAACCATCAACGAGAAAATAACTTTCGGTATGCAGGGGGCGATTGAGGATGAGAGATGACTGCATCGGAGAACCCTGGTAGGATTTTATGATTGATGCCCGACTCAAGTAGAGAACCCTGAAAGAAACCCTCGGGTACACAAAAAATATTTGTCTAGATGGATTAATGAGTTCGCCTGTCCTTGCAGAAGTGCCATAAATATTATACAAGAATACCAAGAGAGATGAGCCGCGAACAAATGAACAAGGAAGTTGGAACATTTTACACACCTCCCATGTAGTTACCTCTCCAGTTCGACGCAACTTGAGGCCAGGCAACGACGGAGTTCATCGGCCTTGTTGGATAAAAGCCCGAAAGTGAAGTAGGCAGGTAACCACTCGTGGTCACAACGCTGGGATACGGCACGTAATATCCAGATGAAAGGTTCGTCAAGTCCTGAGTGGGTGGGATTGGAACATGGCGAGCGACATCAGCATTTTTTGCAGAAGCAGAAACTTGAGCATTTTGCAAAACTGATGCAAGTTCTTGCACATCATTTAGCGTCTTCAGTTCCATCTGATCAAATGGACTCCCTGCATCAGCTTCGAACTCTTTCAAATTAACTTCACTGCGTTTCCACGGAGAGTCAGAGACGACACCGGCAGAGGGAAGTGCAGTTGTCTCCGGTAAGAGCGGACAAACTCCAGTAATGCTATCACGTCTCGCACGATCTACGGCAACTTCAGCCGTTGGTGCTGAGACTGGAAACAACTTGGGAAGCTGAGCTTGAGCTGGCGGAACAGTGGTCGAAGTAACGCGATCTTCTGCATCAACATGAGTCGACTGGGCTAGCAGCCTAGCAGCTAGAGCTTCGGCTTCCAAGCGCTGTTTTTCCCTCCGATTGCGAACCAGAGCAAGGGTATTACGTTCTAACGTAAAATTATACTCATCCTGAAAATTTTGAGAAAAAATTTATAGAAAAAACTCCTCGGTCAGTCGGGGATATACTAACATTCTTTGTATGACGAATATCTAGCTTCATGAGCAAACTCTTGGGCAATTCTACTCTGCCCGCCGGTTTCCATTCCTCAGCGATTTTGATGCCGATCCCATCCAAGAAGCTCATGCTTGGACACAGCATCCGGAACTCGCAAAAATTTTCACATAAAATATTTATGCCTGAAGATAGGAATTGTATGTCACGTGAAGACAAAACAGAACGGCCAGAAACGTTGAATGAATTCTGAAACAACAACGTACTCCTAGTTTCAGTTTCTCTCATATCAGAACAGCAAATTTTGCCAAAATGCCAAAAAAATACGAAGCTATAGCAATGCAGGAAGGGATTTGCAGATTTGTTCCAGCGGGAAATGTCGCGGGAGGGATCTTCGAAAGCATACCTCAAAGAAAAATCGAGCTCTCTGGTAAGGCTATGGATACGTTCAGATTGTCCCGGGTCAAGATGACTGTGAGAGTTGAAAAGGAAGGTGAAACGCTGATGTAACGATCAAAATGGAGAGGAATGACCCACGGGGCGAATCATGAATCCAATTGAAGAATTTGAGGAGCGCTTTAGCGTGCAAATGGCAAGCGTCAATAAAAAAAAGCGAGGATTTCATCAGAACAAAAAGACTTCTATCCTGATAAACGAAGATGTGGATCCGACGAAAAACAAAAATATTCATATCGTTCTTTTAGCCCCTTCATTGAGCTGGCAAGATTATCCATATACCTTCGGAATTGCAAGCGGATTGAAACGCGGATGACTCATAAGAAACCAGGTCACGAGCTAATTTTTCAAGAAGATCACTTCAGCTCAATCCGAAAAACCTAACTGGAAACGTCGCGCGCAAATATTTGAATAAGGAAGAGAGTCCTTAAGAGCAGCACGGCAGAATTGCGCTGCACATTTCGCATCGAAAGACACTTCATCTTTTCCTCTGCTCCGACGCGCAAAAAATGCGCCGGGAAGCACAAAAATAGTTCCGTAAATAAATCTCTCTTACGACGACTCATCTTGAATTTACATGATTTCTGCCAGGTCCAAAATGGAGCGTCACCACAGATGAGACTCGAAACAGGAGCAGCAAGAACTCAAGAAATTCATCACCATATTCCTTCGTTTTCCTGCCCAGTTCTATGCACTGAGTTTCAAATGTAAATAAATTAATCCATAACTTTTCAAAACATTGCACACTCTATTCAACGAATAATTCTATAACAAAATTAAAACAAAGCGATAAGCGTCCTGGAAAATAAGAGAAAGGCAGTTGAAAAGGTAAGACACACCTAAAATTTTTGAAGGTGACCCCATAAATTACAGTGCGGATTTTGAAAACACGAACCTGGTACTCCTGACTAGAGGCTTGCCTTCTAAATCCAGAGATTCAATTTCTATGAACAAGCTGAGAGGAGCATCGGACGTGGGATTCTTATCGGTAAGGCTACGAAAACAAACTCACAATCAAAAGGAATGCTTTAACCTGTGGCACACCTTGTGGCGTATCAACGACACCAAGAACACAATCTCAAATCCCCATCATCCATTCAAACCAAACCTAAACCATCGTCGTGCCACTCAGAGGAACAATATCCGTTCACAGAAACAAAAACAAAAAACCAAGAAACTTTCAGATGAGTGACTAATGCTTTTGATTTCTCCTGCGTGTTATAGATGTGAAGAGCTCTTCAATTTTGAGGTAGACCAGTCATACAGAAGAATGAGGAATGAGCAGGTTGGCAAGATGGAACAGATGAAGAGCACCAGTCGAGTTGTTCACGCGAAAGACAGTCATTCTCTTCCAAGAAGGCGCTGATGAACCCACTCGGGTGCATAAGACTCGAGATCAACCCGTACCAACCGCGGACGTTCTTCAGTTAAAATTGTTTCTCTAATGCTGGCTGAAACTTTCACAGGACCCAGTGCTGACGTACACAAGGTACATTGCTTTCAGCGTTCAATAAAATATAATTCCCATACTTTGATCGCTTCCCAAAGAGTATAGAGAACTTGGAACGAAATAGATAAAGCACGACAAGGAGGGAGAGAGAGAAAGATAGACAGGAAAAGGGCGAGCGAGGGAGAGAGCAACAGGAATCCGGCATGATTATCCGTTCAAAGATGTAACAGAAGACAGCCAAAAAGCAAACTTACAGCTAGATCAAAGAGGCAGCAAAAACCAACAGGTACACATGTTGATGAACAATAATGCATTCACAGAGGATCTACATTGTAAGGCGGAGGCCAAACAACTGCAAAAATCTCACTCAGACCTATACCGTGGCTTCTCAGCCGAATACGGAGAAGTAACAGGAAGCAAAAAGCCCTCCCAAGATGAAAATCATAGTCGGAATCTCCCAACTGAAGATTAATTTCTTAGCTGCAAGAGAGTTGAGCTGAAGTACACAAAATTTTCTTTCCGACAAAGTGAACTAGTGCAAAATGCCCACCAACCAACCATATTGTCACGATTCTTGACGCTCTCTCCCTCTCTCTCTCCCACGAAACAGCAGCAATAGTGGAAGCTCTTGAACGATCCTCAGCCTGCTCATGGGAGGGGCACGCGAAGCCATTCCCAACTTTGGTGATTCCGCTCGCAACAGTGTATCCAACTTAGTGCATATCAGATCCACTCTTGTTAACGCGCGATCACTAACAGGTGAAGAGCGTATAAAAGGAAGCTGTTAAAAATTAATGAAAAACAGCGCGCATCTCACACAAAACATAAGCCGCGACTTGAACACATGCGGATCACTCATTCAAGATTCAAAGCAATTACGAGTTCACGGCAGCTGTTACTCAAGAAAGAAGGTGGGTGAAATAACGTAGGCGGAGCACTCATACATCCGACACAGCCACCATGGGAACATGGCCGTTGATTGCGCTGTCTGGTGAGCAGGGCGACGACGGTCCACCACCTCCGTTGTATGTGCTTGTTTCATTCCGTCGGTTCTGCTCTTCATCACCAGAGTTCACCAACGGCCAAGAAACTGGGTGGCCATTATCAAACATATCGTCTGCCACTTCGACAGTGGCAGTCGGCGCAGGTTGACCTCCACACGGACGGACTACTTGTTTCGGTGAAGCAGCGCTGTCTGTCAATGGAAGGGCCACGTCCGGTCGCCGAGACAAACCAGAGCGGCGGAAGATTGAAGTAATTCCTCCTTTCCGGCGTCTCGTCGCTGCTTCAGGATCATCATCACCTTCTTCAATCGCTTGCTTTCGCCGAAGCCAGAAATTCATGAACCGCGTCGCTGTTGAAGTTATTTTGTTAGTTTCAACGCCGTCCCCGGCAGAAACGTAAATTCCATCGGTGCTTCTCGCCGTTCTATCGGGGTTGCACAAAGGAGTGGTGGCATCCACGGCGGCAAGTGGATCACTTGTATCTAAATCGCGACATGCAGAATACATGAACGATACTCGGCGGAAATTAGGCCGACAGAACTCCTCGAAATATCCGACTAGCTTCTTGAACGACGGACGTTCGGAGGGTTCTCGGATCCAACACATCCTCATCACCTCACGAAGCCGATCTGGACAATGCGGCGGAGGATTCAAGGTTCCTCCACCAATCACAAATTCTCCCACTTGCTCAGTTTTTAACGTCTGTCAAACGAATCATGCAAATTCCGTGAGTAATTCGGAAGTAATTTTCATTCCAGACTTCGTTTCGAAATGAAACGCATTTCTAAGGCTTCTTCAATTGAATTATGAAGAGAAAATACATAATTAATGCTAACGCTCATTTTCTTCTGCTCGTAAACTTGGATCAAACTTGAGATGCACAAGAAAATTAAGACGCAAAAATTTCTTAAAAATACTTTGTAGCCCAAAGTTCATCTCCAGGTAATTCACGTACAGGAATAGTGTTTAACTTTGCCGTACTGCTATTGATAAGCTTGAGCCTCGCGAAATGGTTTACCTATGAGCTACGAATACAGTACAGTATATACAGTACATGAAAGTAACAAGAGTGATACTTGAAGACATACAGTAAACTAAATCCGACTCACATTATAAGGCACGAGCCCCCCTGTGGCCATTTCCCACAGCACGATTCCGTAACTCCACACATCCGATTCGGTGAAGTAGACATACTCACTGTGCGACTCAGGGGCCATCCAACGCATCGGAGCTCTTTCCGGCGTTACTGTAATAAAAAATCGAAGAGAACGATTAGTTGCATCTCTACTGTACATTGAACACGGGATCATCAAAAATTATTCTTACATTTGCGATAGTAATTTTCATCTACTTCGCGTGCGAAGCCCAGGTCACCAATTTTTACAGTCATATCTTTGGACAGCATACAATTACGGGCTGCAAGATCCCGATGAATGATATTATTATGCGACAAGTAGGCCATTCCATCAGCGATTTCGGCTGCCATCCGATACAACTCGTTCACAAATGTGAAGTCGAACTAGAAAGAATTCGAATGTTACACGAGGACAAAAAATGAATCATCAAGGAGTATCAACATTGGCGATGAGTTGTCCATATTCAGGATCATTCCGCTGCGTTTCCAACCACTTCTTCAAATCTCCGTTCTCCATAAGTTCCATCACAGCAAGAACGCGACCTTGATTCACCACGCCGATCAGTTTTACGATATGCTCACATTTAAGGTCCCTAAGTACAAAAGACAAATGGTCAGAGAAGTTAAACTTGAATGAGAATCTTGATGACATAAGGCGATTCTCTCTTTTAAGCAAAATACAAATCGATGCACAGTAATGCTTGAAACTCACTGCATTCGTGAAATTTCATCGAAGAAATCTTTGTATGTCATTTCCTGGCAGTCTTGCGTTGTTTTCAAGGCCACGTTGATTTTCGTACCGTTTTCCATTTGCAATGTACCTCGGTATACAATCCCGAAGGCACCGCCACCGAGCACGTCTCCCTGGGTAACCCTTGATTGATCAATCTGGAATTCGCGCTTCAATTTGCTGTTCACGTAGTCCTCATTAAGAACCACTGAAAATACAGAAACAAACTGCTGGCGTGAACCGTAACAGCAATGATTCAAGAATAAATTATTGAAATTAGATCCTCGAAATCTTACGGGCGTAGTTGGGATTCCAAGTGAGACGCTGTTCGTTTTTCTCAGTCACGTTCTTCCTCCAGACGATGAATGCAACGAACGAGATAATTAAGAGCAGCGCTGCAGCCGACATGGCAATAGCAAATGTTGTGACTTTCCAATCCTCAGTGTGTGCCTGTAACATACGCATCAACGTGCACTTTCCGTCGTGTTACTAAACAAAATTTCACGAACTTCAACCCGGATGTTCCTTTCCACGATGGGTTCACCAACGCCGGCAGCACTGATAGCTCGCAGATGGAAAGTATACACGCCCGTGTTCAGTTTGGCCAAGTAATAATGCTCAGCACCGGGAGGGAAGGGCTCGGGATCGGAACTATTCCCCAAAATTGATCGTTCGAAGCGAGAGCATCGCGGAATCAGGTCTTGCAACTGGATGCAAATTTCTTCAGGTTGTATCTGTGTGGAATAATTGTTCACAGTGAAACCGAATCGTGCAGCTGCAGCCACGGGCAAATAATTCTTACGTTATCGACGTCTTCCCGTCTGTATTCTAGACGATAACCAACGATTGCGCCGTTCGGTTTGCTCGGGGCTCGCCAATGAACACACACCATCCCAGCAACGAGAGTGTCATTCATAGTCTTGTCCGTGATTACCTCTATCCATTCTATTTTATCAGCTCCCTCTGGAACAGTGAAAAAAAAAACGAGCGATGAAGCAAACTAAAAACCGAGTGCAGTTGCATCACTAGATCGATTTTTTTTAACTACCAAGCCGTACACTTGCCGAGTTTTCACAGCTCATCCAGTTTTCAGAAAATGCTATTTCTGGAAATCTGCCTGGATTCCAAGAAAAAGAAACCACAAAATCTTTGGCCCCATTTTATACTACCTGAAATCAGCCGAATTTTACAGAAAAAAGACTTGGGAAGCAAAGCCCCGTAAAATCGGAACGTATTTTCGAGGAAACATTGATGTACTGTATTAGGTGATTATTTTGCCCCTCTGTATTCAACAAAATGCAGGATTGAAGCGTAATCCATGCCGCTGTCTGAAATCAGGTCTGCCTCTCAAGAAGTTCCATAATATTTACTGTATTTGATACGCACATACGATGCAGTTTCGGCCCGTCTCAAAAAGCACATACTGTATTTTGATCATTTATTCGTTTGCGGTAAATGTTCATGTTTCAAAATATGTCCGCGAACCCTTGAGTTAGTAAAAGAAACACATTACTAGGTTCATCAACGGTATCTGAAAAACAAATTCAATGCACCGAAAAATATCCCAATTTTGAATACACTTCCCTTTCATTTTCTGAAGTCCATTCAAGAAAATCTACTCAGTTAATGAAGAGGAATCAACTCAAGAGGATCCAGGAACTTCTGTACATTCCAGACAGTTCGATAACCTTATGCAACCACTGGATGCTTCTGCTTCCCTATTTCATTTAGGGAAGTAGAGAGGAAACAACTTTTCATAGGAAATCCGAAACCTGCAGCCTTACCTAGAACTACACTTCATTCCGGAAAATAGCTAAACGTTCGGAATTTCTGGTACAGTATCTACTTAAACTAGAGCAAAATACTTGTGGGACGGCAACTGAAACAGAGGATCACAATATTTCGATTTCAATATGTTTAACCACAGCGCCGAAAGATCTTAATTCATCATACGATCAACACGTCGAACCACAAAACGTAGGATACAGCAGTAGGACCGACGCAAAACGTGGGACAAACCTTTTTGGCGGGTTTTTCCAGACGCAACCCCGCCCCGTTTTGAACACGCAGTGCTGTTGAATTCCTCCGTTGCCACGTGACATGCTTCTACATTCACGTCATATTGCGTAAAATGCTTTAGGCCGGTTATTACCAGCGTTCTTTCGTTCGTAGAATACACTGTAAAAAAAAAAATATATATATATATATATATATATTAAACATAACAGAAGAGGGACGCGTAAACCGTCCGCATACCCATGGGCTGGGGAACACTTTCATTTGTTGCGTTTTTCGGCTTCTCTATGTAGTCTGAATCTCCCGAAGAGTGCAAAATGCTGTTATATTTTGGTAAGGTGTTCTTTGAGACACTCGCTTCTTGCAAATCACTTGCGTCGTCGTAGCTGGGTACTGTAGCATCTTCTTTCTGACGCAAGATATGATTCGATGATGAGGGAGAGCCGATTGACCCCATACCATCATAGAAGTCAGCGTGCAAATCTCGCTTTTCTCTGTTTTTCTGGCTTCTGCTCATTCAAAAACATATTCGTCAGAATGTGTCCCTAAATTCAACGACTTGCAATCGCACAGCAACTCATGAACGTATGGTCTCAGACTGGTGCATCCAGCGCAATACACGTGCGTTGATAAAATAATCTGAGCTTAATTTAAAAAAAAAAAGCTAGAACACGGAATGCGAAAAACGAGAAATCACTCATAAATAAGGCTTGAAATAGTCTTAACTCGGTGCTTTTCCACAACATACCGAAAACAAAATCATATCAGCTATGGATTGCGTGAACGAAGTTGATTCTTCTCAATGAGGAATACGAAAAGAATTATTCGAAGTACAGTATAAGCAAATTGAGAATACCTTCCGTCATTCTACTTTAAATGTCACACTTCAGAGGCATGTACGGTAATGAAAATAACGAAGCAATAAAATGTTCAAATCCACTTCTAGAAGCAACTCTAATTCGAAAAACTGTGCAATTGCCCACAGCATCACACCAACGATCATTCGCTTGGCTAAGTGAATCAATGAAGATCCGCATGCATTAATTACAGTCTAGACTATAACTATTTAAAAAATATATTAGAATATGAAAACCCAACCAACAAGGTCACATGGAAGATCGGAGGGAGTGCTGTCAAATGTGAAGATTTCACGCAAGATTTAATGATGCATATTTCGACACTGTTTATTCTCATGTACTGCTTCCACGTTTTTGAACAAAAAACTCGTTTTCACCGCATCGATAAAATAATATTAATTCAGTATCTTCAATTTCCATAAATTCTAGTAAAGAGAGTACAAATTAAAAATTATGATAATCCAGACTAGAGATTACTGTAGTAAATTCCGAATGTGGATTGTTCGAAATGAATACACGAGAAAATTACAATCTAGCAAATTGTCTCAATCCGATCATTCCATTACCCTTCTATCGCAACTTTATAGTGCAGTTATACCCATTGCTTTTCAAGAGGGGTCATGACGTATTTAATTATTGCTACACATTTACTACATTTAAGGTTTAATAAGAACATCTATTCACATCATCACCAAACAAAGGAAATGAAAGAAATAAAGAAGAAAGCAGGGGAAGAAAGAACCGCGCGTAACCTACCGATTTCTTCCCGAAGACTTCTTACGCCCTCTCTTTGATCCTTGGCTCGAGCTGAAAAAAGTCATCAGTCTGAACATGAATGCCCCCCAGAAAAGAAAGTTTACCAAGGGTACTTCCTCTCACATACCGGAAGTACATGCAAGCCACCTGTTACTCACAAGACAAACAAACCATTTCGAAAAGGACAGAGAAAGCTGAAGCGACTCAATGAAAATTCCAGTGCAAACTTCACCCGTCTAAATGTGAGCAATGATTAGCCCCGAGTCGGGTGTGTAAAAATCCCGGGGAAATCCGAGCGTTCCCAAAATCAGGCAAGACTCACGCGTCAACGAGGCAAGTATTAGCACATTTCTCCATGTCGATGTGGCATTGGATGCTGCCATCTGCAGCCCGGCGACCTGAGAACACATGTCCCATCAGTTTATCTTCGAACAAGACTTGCTCCTCAGCTTTATTCCTCTCGTCGTCGGGGAGATCTGGCTTCTTCTGGCAAGCGCAGCACTCTGAGCGGATATAGTTATTCACACGGAGCTCTTCGCTTTCGTCTGGGACTACTTTCATCCGCTCATCTTCCTGCCGATCTCTATCTGCTTTGGCTCGGGTGACGTCAGTTGAGGGCGGAATCGGACCAATCGGGTCAGTGTCTGGAAATTAGAACAGTTTAATTCAAACCGCTTCCGGCTCTCAATGAAAGGAATTCGTTCACACTGACCCGACTTAGCACATCGATGTCGAGGAGAAGTCTGCTCGTGTTCCCGAATTTCGATGTTATACCTCCCAACGACACCGTTTTCATGCAGCGGCTTTTCCCAAGAGATGGTCAATTGATCGCTTTTATCAGACCACACCCGAACAAACCGAGGATTTGACGGAGCTAAACACGAAAACACACATCATGAACAAGGCAAAAGCAAGTAAGATAGACTACTTACTCGTAGGATTTGTCGTTACGTATTGGACGTCGGAAATACCTCCTTGCGAACCAGCGGGAGACTGAATGGTATAAGTTCTGATGTATATCGCGTATCGCGTTGCCGGTTTAAGAGCGGTGATCAAATGAGTGACGGTGTCATTTTGCTCATGGGATGTCGGGACATCAAGGTATTTCCACCTGAACGGATGATAAAAAAGTACTTGTGTACATAAGATTGAAAATATACAGATTATTGTTTTTTCCGACCTGAACATTTCAGAGAAGGCCAATAAAATGAGAAGAAGAGCTTGCGCAACGGAAAGGTACTCACGGATCAGCAGTACACGCATCCCGGCCATCATAAATAGAGACATTCGTAGGGGCTTCGCGGTAAGATAGCACGTAATGCAACAAGCTTCGATGATCAGCCAAATCCTTCCGAATATTTTCCCATTTTACAATGAGAACGATTTGATCACTTGGCGTCAGCTTCGTTATCTCAGTCACGTTGATTTTTCTCGTATTACCTGCAAAAAGATCGTAATAACAATCGTTCCTTATCCCTTCGAGTTCTTTGCAGTTTTCCGTCTCATTATTGTCATGATGTCCACTCACAGATGATTTGATCTCCATTTGTTGTTGTTGACGCCACTAAAGCATCTTTCTGCACGACATCTCGTTCAACCAGTTCCAAAATTGATTTGTAGCAAAGCTTCGGATTATAATTGAATGATGCTTTTCCATTGATTTTCAACGCGCTTCCACTCGACCAATCCCAAAGTTTTCTAAGGTTCAGATTGTCAAGAACCTTCAGGGCAAACCTGTTAAACGAGAGGAGCGTTGACCATTTTCTTCGCCAATACGAAACGATTTGAACATGTTGATTAAATATCCAACAACTTTCAACACAGGCTCATCGACGTATCTCTCAAATCGAACATTTACTGCAGTTGAATGGGATCCGCTAGAAGCAGATGGCCACTAGCTTTTTCAGGTGTCACATGACAATCTTGCCGATCCAACTTCTTCGCCTGACGGCCCAAAATTGAAAAAAAAAAATCCTGAACTTCTCACGAAAAAAAAAATCGTAACAGGGAATAAAAGCCAAGAACGAAAAGGAACTCAGAGCTTCAGTATTAGCTCTTCCTATTTGTTCGACGGTAAATTTTCAGGAGAGGAGGGTGCGACGCAGATTTACATTCCAAGGATGGACATGGGTTTGGATCCCCGGCTGGAAAAGACTGAGCTTCAGGCTGATGACAATGCAGACCAGGCTTTCTATTGAGTTTTGTTAAATACTGTAGTTTCAGGACCAATTTCCGTCGAGCTTTCTCGCCAACTTGATCATTGCACATCATTTGTTCCCTTCAAAAAAATTTGACGCAGAACTTCGTACTTATTCATTTGACGAAAGCACGCTTGGAAATCGGAGGAAGTCGAAAACTTCCATGCTTCAGTGGTAGGGTAAAATGGCAATAAAAGAAAATGAGGTAAAATAGTTGAGAACAAGATCATTATTTGACTGATTTGAACAGGGCAAAACTTGAAATGTCAGGCCGATTGGAATCCATGACGTAATCGTCTCTCTCAAACGTAGAAATGACTCACTCTCCATCTTTGTTCTTGCCATTGATCAGCTTGAGATTCTTCAAAAAATTGAGCGACAACAAGCTAGTAGAACGGACAACGGTCAAGTAGTCATCTATTTCTTCAATGGAGTTGAGATTGTTCTCCAGTTCCGTGATAATTCTGCCTGAAAACAGAGAATCGATCGAACAAGAATAATTATTCCTCACAATCAGTATCCAACTTTTACAACAACTTTGGTCTAGGCACTCAACAGTAACTGGTTGACACTCTTCACAGCTCCACTTGAGGAACTATTAGAAGTCATCGTTAACAAAGGTATTCGGTTACAGCTACATCCACTCGAGAGTTTTAAAATATTTAATTCGCACGAAAAGGTCAAGAAACTCACTACTGTGAGAACGGATTTCAATGTTGAGGTAACCAGTGATCCTGGTGCATCCTTTCAGTTCCTGCGCAGCTTGGATGGAGTCCACTAACTTGCTACCACAACGCACGGGGCACTGACCCAGCGCACATTTCTCGCAAATCCGACTGTTCTCGGCACATTTGTGCGTATAACCCGGAGGGCATTCTTCAACGCAACTGTCATTGAACTTCTTCAGCAGAGGGATATCCACTTTACCAGTGATCGTCTCGTGTTTCCTCGTCTTGTTCATACACACGAACTCACTCAAACATCTTCTATTCATGAACTGAAAAAAATGAGAAAAAAAGAATCAGCATTAAAAAACTAACATAGTATTACTTTGCCGCGAATTTTATGATTTTCACTGGGTAGATTTTTTTTTTTCAGGAAGAAACATACAATTTTAAACTTCATTATCATAAAATTATCAATGTCCTTAGTGTTGGACAAAAATAACACGTTGCGATGACGAAAAACAACGCCCCTCTCCTCTATAGTCAATTTATTCACATTCACGTACACAGCTCCGGGAGCTCCATGAATAACAGGGTGGAAATATGAGAAGACCGTATCGAGTGCTCGATGAGATACTAAAATTATAATTGGTTGCTCATCTCCTTGCAACATGAATGATTTAAAGCTAGTCGAAGACAATTTTGAAGAGTTCATTATAGGAATGAAGACAAATCAGCAAAATAATGACAAGGTTTCAAGTGAAGTAGATTAAGTACAGTAGTAAGGAAAATGCGGTCAATTTTTCAATACGATCTTCCGGTTCGTGTGGATGATTATCATGCGTTTCTCCCACACACTAAATGAGGAAATCCTGCATTACAAAAGGATAGGAATACCACCATGATTCTAAAATTCACCAGTAGGATTTCCAACGTCCGACCTAATACTCCAACTTCGTCGGAAAACTATCAGTTAACCCTAAAGCGCTGTGCGGAATGAGAAATCATTTTATGAATTGTCGGCAAGGATGAAACTTCGAGAAAAAAGACGTTTAACCTTGAGATGCCCAGGTGGACAGTCACGACGACAAATCCCTTCGAAAGTGACGTGCCGACAAGCCATGCAGTCGCCTGGCCCTGGACCCCAACAACCACCGAGACACTCCTCGTGACAGCACGTACCGTTTCTGTCAAGGGGGCAACTGGCTCCAGGGCAATGCTGACAAACTGACACAGAAAACGATCATCAGTACCGTCGAAACACGGATGGGGGTTGATGAGGTCTGTAGTTTAGTCCATTAAATATTTTCATCCGAAGTTGCACTGAGTACCGGGTTTATAATCGCATTTGATCTTGGAGGCGGCAACCTCAGATACCACGACATCTCACAATTGCCCAACAGGTTGTCAAAATTTTATCAAGATTTCGATAGACAAGTGGTTGCGATATCCCTCACGAAATAAATGCACACTACACACTCTTTGAAGCGCACTCGTTCCCACTAAGAATTCTAAGATGATCCTGATACAAGTGGAACAAAGATGTGGGGAAGACATCGAGATACCAACCCAGAGACATTCGACAGTTCTTCGTTCGCACTTCCATGATTTGAGCGAGGATTCAAAATTTTATACAACACAACAAAATTTTCCGGAAGGTCTCGTCTGACTCACAACCTTTCTCCGCGAGATCATCTCACTAATGTCTCATTGAACAAGTTACACGTAGAATATAAACAACGAACATTTCATGATGATTTACGTAAAATCCGTACGGTGAAGTACTCACTGCGTTGACAATGGTCTTCGTTCCAGCAATGCGGAGTGCCCTCATAAAAAGCGCACTGAGCATCCTTACACGTGCCAGGACATGGACCGACACTGTTTTCCTGAATAAAGTGAGAAGAGCGTCAGTCATCGCCATTTAGCGTCAGAATAAAGAAAAATACCTGGAAAAAGTTGAAATCTTTCGTATGCGGGGCCAAGTAGTTCCAATGGATGGTATTCACGTAGCACAGCAAGGGATTCTTCTCGATTCGCACAGCTCCACGTTGTATATATGATAAGTTCATCAAGCCTAGCTCCAGTATATGTTGCATCTGAAATAAGAGTGCAATAAGGGGATGAATTAGAAGAACTCGTACACCTTCGTTCCCGGGTGTCATAATCACAACGAAATGACAAAAGGAAAAGCTCCGCGTGGACGCGGCAGTTTCCGTGAGACGCGTCGCATGGTTATCACGACTTCGAAGATTGCGACTCCGAGGGAAATCTGATTATACGCTTTAGTATATCAAATACTACGCTTCGTGGAGAAGATTCCCGAGCCCCACAACGATTCCGTACCCGACGAACAGTCATTTCAGATTGGCGAAGTGCTTGCCCTTGTTTTTCTCACCAGGTAAATACGCAGACAGCTCGGGTGGAAGCACACGCATATTAAAAGCGCCCAGCATAAAAAGCGGAAACAGATCATGTCGTCTTCTCTTCGAGGCTGATGCAGAGTGAGATGGTGCAATATTGTACTCCCGGGGCAAGGGGTACAAGCTTCTCAACGCTTTCAACCCAGTTGTGTGTTTTTCCCAACTAATAAATCGTAAAAACGAGCTAAACTTCACATCCAAACCCACGGAACGGTGGAACGGCGATCAGCGAAAATATGTAGCTACAGCAATTGAATAAACCCAATTCTTCGAATGCTCGTCCAAAATTTTTGATTTTCGTTACACCGCGAATGCTGAACTCCATAGAACTCCACTTAGCCGAGCTAAAAGCTGGGTACCTTTGTCTGCATAATGTCATGGGTTGCAATATGATAAAGTTGTTGAACAAATGAAAAAAAAATTACGACGAGCTGGTGAATAGTGCACCGATATTCGCCCAAAAAGTTCATTCGCCTACATTACCTATATAGTCTCAACCTGTTTCCTTTGAAGAGCCTTTACATAGTCGTATTCGGCAAAGGAGAGCCTAACTTCAGGCCTTGAATTGTTTATTTTTCTCTATAAACTTGGAATCCCGCCACTTTATTTCTTCAAAATTTAAATACGGACGCCCGCGTCCTCGACCATTCTTCTCGGACCCTACGCATTGAAAAGAGGGATATATTTTATTCAACTTATACATTTTTCACTTCTTCCGAAGTGCAATGAGAGCTAACTTAGAATGCATAAAGGCTCACAGAACCATCGGCTGAAAAGGTCCGGCCGAGATAATTAGTGAAACAAAACAAAACCAATGGAAGTTTATCGGCCTGTTTTATTTCATGTCAAATCAAAAAAATGTAGAAATGGTTACTCCAATGCCAAGGTTTAGGAAAGCGAGGATATTCGGAGATCTAATGAATGTAAGGTTTTTGCTGGCACCCCCTTTACAAGCCAACATGGTGGGACATATATAGTCATTCATCCGATCAGAAGCACCTTACATTTTCTTCGTCCTCAGAGCGGCCCAAAACCGACATTTCCGACACGAACCGTTCTCATTCCACATTAGGCTCGCGAGATGCAGAAGTATAAGCGACCGAAACCCGACAAGTCCTTGAACTTTCCCGGTTCCACGCCGCGCCACAAGTATAACGATAAACAACCGACAGTCGACAGCATTTACGCATCCCGCAAGCCACACTTCCCGCAATGAAAGTTTGATGCGACATCCCGCGCTGGAAAACGTTTTGGCATGTCGGAGGGCGGACACTGCGCAGCCCGCTGTGGCTGCAATAATTCCGACGTCGCAAATGTCAACCGACCGAATAATTGATCCGTGACCCTGCCTCGATATCAAGCCTTGACATACTTTTTGCGTCCAATCCGCGCTAATAAAGCACTGAACAAAATCTGTTTGCCTTGGTAATCACTTCTTCATCACAGGCGAGTGGGGTATTTGCGCAGTGGCCCCTTCACAAGATCAACGACGGAAAACAAAATACT